AGATAGCATTCATCTTCTCTACCAAGATTTCATAAATTACATGTTCTATGACAGTGGTTTTTCGAACATCAGTGTGTATCAAAATCACAGGGTTGCTTGCTAAAACTTTGGTTTCTCAGACCCACACCCAGAAGTTTCCACACAGCAAATACAGAGTAGTAGCCATTTCTACATTTTTAATAGGCATCCAAGATCTAACCAAGAATAGGCAACCAAGAATCTTGGTGATTCTTGGAATATACTTTGAGAAACATCTTTCTAGGAGACAGTATGAAATGGTTGAAAAAGCGGGTTTTGGAATCAGACTTAAATTAGCATCCTGGCTTTTACAATCTACTGGTTATGTGGCCATGAGCAAATTAGCTGCTTTAAGATTTGTTTTTCCATCTGTGCTGGGGATATAATAAATAACTTCTTCCTCTCAGATTTATTCTGTAGTATAGATGAGATATGTTATTAGATTCCTGGCCTCCAGAAGGAGCTCAGGAAATGTGAGTTGTCTTTTGGACACAACAAACCCAGAACACAGCTGTAAACCTAAAAGTCAGTGAAAAAGTAGAAGGAAATAGCTGTCATTAACCTCATGCATTTTGTTTTGTAAGAGATCAGAGCCACCTGCTTTTTACCTTGAACCTACTGAATTAGAATTGTGTGAAATTAAGTTACTGATTTAATAGATTTTATTATCTAGTTTCTCCTGGCAGACTTCAGTTCTGTAGACATTAAATTCGAACAGCATGATATGGGGAAGGTTAAAGTGTGAAATAGAAGCTGAAGGAAATTTTATAGAGGGACAAATACCTCAAAAATCCTGAGGGCATTAATGTTATAAAAGCTAAATATTCAAATAATAATACTAAATCATCAAGAAAATGTTAAATTACATCTAAAAGAATTGAGAAGTCAGAGAAGTGTATCTTTCAGAAAGATTTCCATTATAATGACTAACATTTTACAGATGTTTGGCACTTAAAGGAATAAGCTTCTGCTATTTGGGAAGTTCCCTTAAATGCAATATTTATTAGTCTTTTGCAGTTTTGGGCAAATCAACTTATGTGACTTAATTGGCATGTTACTACTTGTAACAGTCTGTCTCAAGTCAAGAAGTGTTCTTGAAACTAGAAGTCATGTGGAATTTTGGTGCTGACTGCCAGCTCAGAGCCTAGAGCCTGTTTCGGTCTGTGACTCCCTCTCTCTCTGACCCTCCCCTGCTCACGCTGTCTCTCTCTCTCTCTCTCCTAGAAATAAATAAAACATTAAAAAAAAAAGAAGAAGTCATTGTGGAATTAGCCTATATATGTGTGTGTGTGTATATATATGTGCGTGTATATATATATGTGTATATATATGTGTGTGTATATATATATGTGTATATATGTATGTGTGTATATATATATATAATTATGGACTGCCATATAATGCTATGGTCTTCTTCTCTTTCTGGAAGAGTTGCTAATGTGAAGAGAGAAGAGCAGAGTCTTCTCAAAGCCATGACTACACCCATTTCATGTCTTGAATTTTCTTTCCCACATTGGCTAATTATAAATATGACTACTTTATGGTCATGCATGTGCAAAAGCTATTGAGAAAGAGTTGTGAATTTCCCTCTATTCTCTTCAGCCTTTCTGGTCCCATACCTTTACCCTCACTTGGGTGCTTGTATGCTTATTTATTCCCAAATACTCAACTGTCAGCTGAATAGGTCTAGGTATTAGTTTATTTTTATTAGTTTTACTTGGTTAGAAAACATCAACTTTTTTTTTTTGTAGACTTAGGTCTTTCTTCGGCTGAGTGAGGTTTTCTTCTGTTATATCTTTGATTATTGGCTCTGTGTTATTTGTTACTCTTCTTCTGGAACTTCCATTTTTTCTTACATTTTATTTTTGTTAGTCTTCCATGTCTATCATCTTCCTCTTTTGTTTCTCTTCCTCCTTATTCTTTTTTTCCCTACCTACTGGGGTAGAAAATTTTAGGTATATCTGATCTGATTTTTCAACAGTGTTCAAAATTTTCAACTTTTTATCACTTCAATAAATCATTTGTTTTGCTGCTGCATTTTTCATTTCCTTATACAATATTTTTCCCTTATTTTACCAGCTCTATTCCAATTTCTGTGTCGCCATCTCTCTTTTTACTTTATAGTCCATTGTTTCATCTTTCATCTTAGATTTTTTTTTTTTACTTTGTAAAAGATGCAGAACAATTTAAAGTTTAAAGTTTATATCTGTTTCTCCTTGTGTGCTCTTGCTTTTTACATCTTGAATGCTATGTTATGTTTTTGTATTACATAATATTTTTTGGCATGTGCGTTAATTTGTTTGCTTTTCCTCTTTTACTTCTCTCTGGGTGTTATATATCCTTGTCTCTGTAATCTGAGGTGCTTACCTCTGTGATGGATCCGTGGCCTTTCTCTGGCTTATCTCATCAGAGAGAGGTTGGTTATGTCCTCCTCTTAGATTCTAACAGAAGACCTGATATGTAGCCCCATACCATATTTCTGGGGGTTTTGTCTAAAATGGATCTGCTAGCCTAAGGAGAGAACACCTAATTTGGCTGCCTAGTTGTCTTATTTCTAGATAATCTAGCACAAGGAAGTTTCCTGCTCCTTGCAGCTCTTCCTAATTCAGTCTTTGTAGTGCTGATTTTACATTTCCAGATGTAAACCACTCCTTACACATTTCCATCCCCACTGATATTACATTGCCAAGATTTTCAGACCCAGATTACAGATAGAAAGCATGGGCTTTAGATGGGATGGACCAAGTGATGAGAGCATTTGAGCCCTCGTGCAGCAAGGAAGCCACGTTCTTTTATCAGGTCTTTGAAGTTCCTTTTTGTCTTGCAAAGCTTAAAGACCTCAGTCACAATTGCCCTGTGGGGCTTTAATATTTGGCCTCTGACTACTTCCATTTTTTTGTAACAAAAATGAAATCTTTTGCTAGTATAGTGGGTCACTGAGTAATAAATATTCCCAGAGCACTTAAATTTGTATGGTGTGTGTGTGTGTGGGGGGGTATGTATTGCACTGGGAAGGTGAGAAAGGTCTAGTAAGGTGTTACTAGATTTTGTCTCACCATACCTGTAATGCTCCCTCACTTGTTTTAAGAGCTCAGTATAAATTTGTTCAATGAGTGAATGAGTGACTTAGTCTTCTTTAAGGATTGAAGGTTAAGCAACAATGCTTAACCATTTACTATTTTAATAATTTTTCCCCAATATTATTTTTCTAGTTATATATTTTGCAAAATATGTCCTGGGAGTACCAGTTCCATGAAATGTTCTATGAAAAAAGGGTTCCATGGACAAATAATTTTGGGAAAGGCCGTGTACTAGATCTCTCTCATGGAAATGCAGTCAATATGTAAATATATTAAGGGCCTCAAGAAAGCCCAGATTAACAAAATCTGGTCAATGTTTTTTAGTTCAGCATTTCCTGAACTTATTTTGTCATAGAAACCTATTAAAATGAGAAATGCTGCCCTAATTTTTTTCCCCCTGAACATCACAGAGTGTATTGTAGACTTTTTCCATGAGGCAAACTTCTAATTTTTAGATCATGGCAAGAGATGTAAATTATGACTTAATATGATTCGAATGTCCAGATTTAAGTCAAGAATTTCTAACACAGATTTTTTTCCTCATTTGATGTTTTGAACAAGATATGATCTTCATAACTTCTTTAAAATGTATGTTACTTCAGGCATTAAATTAGTATATTTAAGAAAAGGAGATAAATATTTTATTGGTGCACAGAACTGAGAGAGCCCTCCACCCCATGATATGGAAGCATTTCTATATTTCCCCCGAGCTCAGTAAGAGAGACAGTTGCCCTTACTCATGATTTTAATATTGTGTGTTAATCTAGGAAGTAAACATATAGTTGTACAGCTTTTCTACCAAAATGGTATGGTATAACTGGGTGAGTAGGAGAGCAGACTAAATTTATTTCAGTTTCATAGTATCACATCTTTTCTTGTATTCCTAATTTATTTGTCTTTAAAGTAATATCTGACTAAAGCTCAAGTTGTCTTTTCTTTTGCATCTTCATCATGTGGGATTCAGACGCGCTTTACTAGTTTACCCTTTCACTGACTGGCTAAGAAGCCTACTTTTCTTTGGTTTTGGTTTTGTTTCAGCAATTAATACTTCCATGTTGCTTTACCTCCCTCTCCATCCAAATGCTTTAGCTTTTTACTATTAGTATTGTTTTGCATTGCCTTTTATTTTATGTTTTTAAATCAATTCTTTTTATGTTTACTTTTTTTATTTTAGAGACAGAGTGTGAGCAGGGGAAAGGGAGAGGGGAGGGAAGGAGAGAGAGGGACAGACAGAAAGAGACAGAGAATTCCCAGTAGGCTCCACGCTAAGTGTGGTGAATCATGGCTTGATCCCATGATCGTGACCTGAGCTGAAATAAAGGGTTGGATGCTTAACTGACCAAGCAACCCAGGTGCCCCTTGCTTTCCTTTTTAAATTGACAGTTTGTACACTTTCAGTTTGTACCAATTTAGGAGATATTTTTTAAAAGAAAAGCAGTGATTTAGAGCTTTTCAGAGATGGGGAAGGTGGTAATGAGAAGGGATGGTGGCAAAAAAGCCCAGTGAGTTTTCGACTCCAGGTTTTCCCACTGGCTCATAAATTTGAGAGAGCCATGGATTTGTAATGGGTTTTCCCAGCAAGTTCTGAGTCCCAGTTCTTGGATTTCCCCTACACATAAGTATCCTTTTTCCATACTTCTGAATAAGACTATCGGCAGACGTCTTCCTCTCATTCCTTAAGATAGCCTTTTAAAACCCAACCATCCCCAATACTTCTGTAATTTTAGAATTAAAAGTGGTATCCAGGAACATTATTTAAACATTAAATACTATGAAAACAGCATGAACAAAAAATAGCCCTTTCCAAGAATTGACAAAGAAAATCTAAATAAAAGATAATCAACTGGGCATTTATATTCACTGCAGTAAAGGAAAGCCTAACTTTCGCTTTATCTTCAACAGACAAGCAGCAGAAAGGTGAATTTGCAATAGACGGCTACAATGTCAGAATGAATAACACTCTCAGGAAAGATGCAAAGAAGGATTGCTGTTTTGAAATCTCTGCTCCTGATAAACGGATCTATCAGGTTGGAGTTTTTGTATTGTTTTGAAATTAAGTTGATAAAAGGTTCTGATTTCATTTATAAAGACATTAACATTTTGTTAAAACAACCCTCCCTGACATGTTAATAATAATAAAAAATACTGATCTTTATACAGTGAATGTTCCTATAAGAGGAAATACATTTTTTTTTAAGAAAATTCAGATTAGTTCAAGTGATACCTTCTTGAAAGTGAGCAAGCGAATATGTAATTTATCAGCTACTTCAAAGATTGCATTTTATATCTATTTTAGTAGAACTGTGTGATTACTTAAAAGAATTACATAGCAGAAAGAGTAAAATTATCAAAAGAAAAATATCGGAGCGTTAACACATATTCTATGCTTAGGGTTGTGGGAGAAAATGAAGTTAAAGGCACATATCAGCCCTGTGATTCAAGAGCTATCAGCTAACATCAATATGGAATGTATGTTTAATAAGTTTTAAATATCTGAGATTGCAGTTGAAAGCCAGTTAATTAAGTTGTCAGGTAGTGTGTTGGAATCTGACAAGAACATTTTTAAGAAAACTGTACCCGGCAGTCTAAAGAAATTCATGGGTGTCTTCTAATTGTCAAGGGCAAATTTTGTTCATCAGTTCTGCCTTTGACATTGATGAAGAGAAGCAGGGTTTTTTCCTGCACAGCTGCCAGCTGCTGATCCGAGTTTCAAATCCATCATCCTCTGCTTCAATTACGTAAATTTGTCAAAATTAACTGTACATTATAAGAAGCATCCTTGCAAGAAAAGTAGTACAGGACATGAAAAGAATTCCTAATGGTCTTAAGAAAGTGATAAGAATGTGACATCCCTTTCGCATTTCCATGGTGGCGATTTTTCTTACATTTGTGTATTTGTTATTAGTTCACAGCAGCGTCTCCCAAAGATGCGGAGGAATGGGTACAGCAGCTGAAATTTGTCCTACGAGGTAAGAGCGATCATTGATAGAGTCCTTGCAGTCTTTAAATACTGAGTAACTAGGGAATTTGGATTGTCAGCTATAAAAGGTCATTGACATCTTTGAGGATGACCAAGGGAACGTCAGAGCTGTAGAAGTGTTTTTTCTCTGAGCACCAGCTGGCACTTCGCAATTCACACATTTGGGTAATAATCAATTTTTTTAACAATGTTCTAAGTTAAGGATATAGCATGTGATAATATTGTCACTCTGCAGGGCTGCGTCAGTTTAGAAACAAAGGTTTGGAAAACCGCTTTTGCGTTCGTAAAAAATTTGCCCGATGAACCGTATTTTTCAGACATGGGATCTGATGTTATTCTTGAAGATGATGATGAAAGAGGGGAATTATATGATGACGTGGACCATCCTCTGCCAACCAGCAGTCCGCCAGCAGGCAGCCAACCACTCGATGATGAAATTTATGAAGAACTTCCAGGTATTTATTATCTGGTGATTCGTGTAAGGATTTTAGGGCTTTTTCTTCTTCTTTTTCTTTTTTTCCTTTTCCCTAATGTCATATGTCATCAAGCGGACAACTGGAGTAGAACATGGTGAGCTATTAAAAACAAGGGCAAAGAATATCCTCAAAGCTCAATTTTATGTAAAAGGTTCTGCTTGAGGTATTTCAAGTGCGTGGATGTACACTCACGGCACGCGAGTGGAATGTTAAAACAAAGCAACAACGGTCCTAATCCTGTGGGGCTTTTGGCTCATTAGCATTGTTTATGCTACATAATTTTTTAATTAAAAAATCGACTTGCCTTACAGTTTTTTCCACCAACTCACACATCATTTTTTTATTTATGTATCTTGGAACTTCCATTAACCAGAAGTTCTATGCACACCCCATATGTCAATAGCTTCTGCCTCATCTATTCCTCTTTGCTATGGCGGGTTGCATTGTCTTGGAGAAATATTGTTGAACTATCAACAAAGGCCTTTGAGACTTGAAATTTTCTTGCTTGCTATTTCATCATCGATATGAGTAGGTTTTCTTATTCTGCATTCTCGGGCATTGTTTCGTGTTTATATGTCTCAGTCTCTCTTCCATAAAATAAAATTCATTATCTCTTGGCTGTTTGACTTGTAGTTTTAAGGGCTAAGCAGAAAACAGAAAGATAGGCATCTGGAACTTAGGGTACCTGGAGTAGGAACACATTCAGGGAATCACTGTGTTACTAATACTGTAGGTTGAAATGAGTTTTTTTCCTGCCTATTAAAAAATTAATAGAGAAGAAAAAGGGATTATGGACAATGTAAGCGAGATTTAACCAACATCTCATGCAGAGAAGTTGTTTTCCTCTGAATAGAATGAGTTGACGACATAGTATAAACCCTTAAAATTGATTTAAAAAATGCATAAAGTGTTCCAAGTTAATGTGCAAATATCATTTTCAGTGATGTCAATGGAACATAGTAATAACTAGCACATGCACCTCAGAGTCAAAGTTTAAATCCGGCTGTTCCATTTACTAGCTTAGTGACCTTAACCATTGTCTTCTCCTTCATCTATAATTCTTCATCTTCATCTATAAAATCCCTTTTTTCTTCGTCAATAAAGTGGGGCTAATATCACAGCGATTGGAGTGAGGTGATGTGTCTGAAACTCTCAGCACTGTGCTTGAAGCATGACAAGCACACAATAAATTGTAACATTGTCGTTACTGTTTTCATTATTGTATCCAGTAAATGCTTACAAGTGCTTATAAGAGGATATAAGAAGAGTTTTCTGATCAAGTAAGAACTAATGATTGTAATGGTATTATAAATTCAAGTACTACAAAAACGACTCAAATATGCATCTACATATTGTTTTTTACTACCCGTGGAAGATGATTAGTCTAAAAGCATAATTTTGTGGGGAATAGTAATCTGGACATTTTTATTATTTTAATGGAACTATATGTTTATAGCCTTTTCCTTTCTGATTTATCCCAGGGAAGAGGCATCGGCCATAGCATTAGTTATCCTCAAGTAGGGAAGAATGTTTTCTGGCTGCTTGTTTTGAGTCACACCATATCCTTAATACAGTTATTTGAGTTTTAAAAAGTTGGAAAGAGCTTGTGAGAATGTATACTTATGTAAAGTGGAAGCACGTAGTGCCCTTGAACATTGTATTACTGTCATACACACTATATTCCTTTAAAACCCTGCAATGAATGGGTTACATTATAGTGGTTGAGTTGTCTGTTAGTTAAGTTCTGTGTTTCTTCAACTTGACTATCCTCTCTCCACTCTCCCTTCTCCCCACCCCCTAAGAAACGCTGGTCAGGACTTAAGATCGCGATTATCCATAGCCCTCTTCATAACCAAGGTCCAAGGAAGATCTCCTTTAAATGGCTTGAAATCTTAAAAATATGAAACATCTTGTACTTTCTCTCACTGCAGATATTCTACTTTGTCTGTTCTTTTTTTGGCCTAGGGCCACATAGTTGTTGGAAATGCCCGTTACTCTTTAAGGAGTCTGACTTCTTGCTGAGGTGCTGGAAGAAATCTAAGCTGCTCTGGGATTCCTTCCCCTGCCTGGGATCCCAGTTGCTGTACAAAGTGATTGAGCTCGGCCGAGCCCGCAACAGTGCCCCTGGGAAGGACGGGGGCGGAGGCGGCTGTGGATTGTCTACTTCTTGCTTCCCTAGTGTACCCGAGAGCTGCTTCAGCATCCGCGCGGTGCAGGCCTGTCGAGTCGGAGCCAGCTGCTCCAGAGGGGATTTTTCCTAGTGAAAGTCTTCAAGTTGTCTCTCCGAGTGTGAGAGCTTTTTTTTTTTTTTTTTTTAACTATCTAAAACTAGAAAGTCACTTTTCTTTCTTTAAAAAAAAGGGTCTCGTGGCACCTGGGTGGCTCAGTCAGTTAAGCATCCAACTTGGGCTCAGGTCATGATCTCATGGTTTGTGGGTTTGAGCCCCGTGTCGGGCTCTGTGCTGACAGCTCAGAGCCTGGAGGCTGTTTCAGATTCTGTGTCTTCCTCTCTCTGACCCTGCCCTGCTCACGCTGTCTCTCTCTCTCTTGCAGAAATAAATAAAACATTTAAAAAATAAATAAATAAAATAAACAAAAGCGTCTCTCATTCAGGATAAACATGGAAGTAGTTGCTTCCCCCTCCATGTGATATATGAATATAATTTGGAGAGGACGGTGAGAACGGTAGAGGAGCAGTGAACACATTCACAACATGTTGGTATTTTTCCAGTTCTGTACAAACAACTATGTATCTCTGAAGCCTGGCTGGTTAAATTCCAAGAATTAATTCCTACTACCGTTTCAACACAACTTTCTGTCCATTACATATAGTTGAAAACTAATCCCCTTTGTTGAAAGATGAAGCGTACAAATGTGAAGAAAAATCTAAGTCTTCAACATGTTACTTTAAGTCGCGAGCTTCTTTTCCTAAGAACCTAGAGCTCTCACTCTAAAAAACATATATTTTTTAAATGTAAGTAAACCTGCAGTGTTTAAGCCTTAATGATAAGAAGAAAACAGTGTTTAAAAAAAAAAACATATTGCGAAATATCCCTTGAAAAACTTTTGATTCTCTGGGAGTATAAATGGCTTCCTTGTAATTGTTTTTCAGTGAGAATCTTCTAACTTTATTACAGGAGCTCCTCTTTCATTTCTTGTTCATTAATTTTTAAGTAACTTCACAAAAGAATAAGAATACATTTGTAAGATTTCTTTGTGTTTAGGGTATTTATGCATATGTACAGAAGAGTTGAAAGAGTGCCATTTCTGGGGAGTAGTCAATCCATCTGGCTTTCCTTCAAATACACTAATGGCTTTGACATCTTTTATGGCTTCATACACCTTAGCCTAGGCTGGTCAGGTTTGCTAAATTGTGGTATTACTGTAGCAAATTAGTGTTTGCACAGCTAATATATTGATCAAAGCGTGTTAAACTGTTTCATAACCCACAGTAAGGAGTTCATTTGGCTTAGCACGGATTTCAGAAGTCAGTGCTCGTTGTTTTCTTTCTTTCTTTCTTTCTTTTTTTTTTTAACTTTTTTAAATGTATTTTATTTTGAGAGAGAGACAGAGAGTGAGCAGGGGAGGGGCAGAGAGAGGGAGACACAGAATCCAAGGTAGGCTTCAGGATCTGAGCTGTCAGCACAGAGCCCGATGCAGGGCTCGAACCCACGAACCGTGAGATCATGACCTGAGCTGAAGTTGGACGCTTAACCGACTAAGCCACCAGGCGCCCCAGTGCTCGTTGTTTTCATTAGAAATATAGAAGAATCGTTTTTATTTGAGTTTTGAATCTTGAAAGAGGAAAACAATGCTTGTGAGATTACTGCAGAGATGGGCACAGCCTGCTCTTCTTTACTAGTTACTGCGTCACTTGATATCCACCCCCCCTTAATGTCAGGAAATTGTGTAGTGACAACAATTAATACTTTCTAATGATATAGACTGAATAGAATCAGCCCAGTTAACAAGAACAGTAACTGCCCATTAGACTCTGAAATCTATAGCTCTACAGCTACAGGGGAATTGCATTTGAAATTCTTCTGGGAAGTGGACTGGAAGAGGGAGGGCAACATAAAACAGGAAGATAAATTTCTAATTCCATTAACCTATTTTTTAAGTGTTAATTCATTTTTTTTGTAATGACAGATTGAACTCTTCTGAGCCAGAAACAAAGGATGTTTTTTATCCTTTGGTCATTCAAATACATTTAAACTGTAGCCATTCCAATGTCTGAATCTAAAATGGAATATAAAGTAAAATGCAGCTATACATTTTTTTTTTCAAACTATTATGGATACATAAAAAAAGAACAGTGTTTGGTTACTTGAATTTGAAGCAGTCTCTGTCAAGGAGAGACGAATGCCAAGTTAATCAGTAAGTGGTCCCAACCCCCGCCCAAAATACATTGTAGCTTTGCTTTCCTGCTGAATCGTTACCACTCATATTACGAAGTTAATATCGAGATTATAGGGGAGGCTGGAGTCTCTGGTATTAACATCACCATGATGGTAGGTCTTGGTTTCACCCAAGAATTTTTCTCATTCCTCCTTTGGAATGCAGTGGCAGGATGCCAGTTGCCTTTTCACAGAACCACAATATATTCAGGATTTTACTATTGTTGGTGTTCTTTTTTCTCAAGCCATGGGACCGAATTGTAAAGTTATTAAGTGCAGTGATACAGTATCCTAATACCTGGTACGATAAATACTTCTTCCCAAGTAGCGACCAGATAAGTGTCCATTTTTTGGGTGGTTTCAGCTCTGGACTCTACTAAGACGGTTACCTGCAGCTACAGAAGGTAGGGAAAACATCCGTAAACTAGAGTCACTGCACACTTTTAAAGGTTTATATTTTGATCCTTGCTGAATATAAATGTGACTTTAGTGTTATTTGTGTTGCCTGTTCCGTAATACGATATGATGCTGGTGGAATACAGTTGGGACTGTCACGTAGCTTTTTCTCCACCTTGCTGTCGG